ATTAATAAAATTAAGCTGTAAGGTGAGTTTAACCATCTTACGATACATAAATCTACTGTGGTTTTACTAAAAAATTTGTATGTCCAAATAAAAATGATTTATTTGTTACTAGAAACACGTCGAAAAGGGCCGTTTAACAAGAGATTTACCTAAACTGGATTTCAACGACACCAGTTGTACGAACTCTTGCGTAGAGCACGTCCTCCTGCGATCAAACACAAATGACTCAATTTCATTACTAACTTGAGTGAAAGAGGATACTCAAACATAGAGACTAATTGTATTTTTTTTAATTATATTAAAATAAAATAATCTCATCCATAGAATTGCTATTAGAAACAACTTTTGTCAAGAAGGAAACTACTCATTATGTAATGGATAACAAAATCTGTAAAGTTGGTAATTTCAGAAAATTCAGCTCATAAAATGAATTAACCAAATATGAGCTTGTTTGAGAGAATTTTCTAACCATTTAAGCTATAGATGCCACTGAATTGAATACCTTAGTTGGAATGTAATTTGCATCAGATAATCTTTGCAAATTTTCCATGAAATAATGCGCACAATCCGGAACCTGGAGTTCGTTACCGCGAGCATACGTTTCCTGCAAAGAGAATTAAGAATATTTAGCACGCTTCATCTGGGACAAAGTCAAGAAGATAAAAAGCTTACACAAAATAAGAAGCATCACGATTGATTTCATTTAAAAAATGCTACCTGAATCGCACCATCTTTCCAAAGAGCCTCTATATCCTCCGCACGCTCCCTAGTTAGACGTGGGTAATCCAATCTACCTCCGATATCTGATAATTTCTCCCCAATTTCCTGGTGCAAAATAACATACAGGTACAATAAATTCAGTATATGTTCATCCAAGTATACAACTACGCAGAAAATAATATTTGAGAACAAGTTCCACTTTTACCTTATATTTAGCTTTGTGAGTCAGCTTTAACTTAAAAACTTCCAGCATTAAATTAAACCCCTCATTTAAGTTTTCACTTTTTCTATTAGTGGCTAGCCATATGTGTTTTTCCGGCGGAATAATACTGTTTTCGTGAATATTTATCCCAATTTGTTGGATGGGGTTTGGGTATTTTTTTCCCTAAGTTTGTGGGCAGTGCCTTTTTTACCTGCTTGATTTGACTTAGAACTCACGGACACAATTGTACAGCCTAGAGAACAGACCCTGTTTAAGTAAGGTCGTTTTACCTACTTGATTTGACCAAGTTCAGATATTTTCATGGTTGGATTTAGAAATTTTTATGACTACATTTTGAGTATCTTGTTAATCGAGCTTCCTGTTCATGTGGTTTATTTGTTGGTTCTTGGATAATTTCTTATTTTGATTTCAAGAAGATATTTGTACTAATTACACCACACATTCAAGTTTAGGATTTGGTATGAAGAAGTTAAAGTTTAAAGTTAAAATTGACCTACTAATCTAAGTATAAGGGTAAAATTGATCTTTTCCCTAATATTTATTATTTTTATATTTCAGATAAATGGTAAATGCACTTCTGTTACAGTATAAATCAGTTCCCTAACTATTTCTGATTCATGAACTAGAAGCCAACTAGACCAATTCTTTTTTCCAACCACTGGTAGTTAACATAAATTGAGAAGATAAAACTCAAGCCACATAAAAACCAATTAGGCGTTGAACTCATACCTTATTTTCACTGCATAAAACATACTTCGAGAACTCTTTATCATTTTGAGCAAGCTCCTTTGAACCGTCATGTAATACCTGACAAGTGGAGTTCGATAAGAGGCTACTACTCCTGAATCAACTAAACATACAAGATGAACACGCCTCGCATCAAAAGATTAGTATTTCGTGATTTGAAGTTCTCAAGCACTCAAAAAAATTACAAGATCAACATGCCTCTAATCAAGAGATTGATAGATTACGTTTTAAATTTTTGGACAAAATCATTTGTCCTTCAAATCATGCAGAAAGGGAAATAACCAACACACCCTTTCAAATATTGCATACTTTTATAGTCTGATACACATTTGCATGAATGACTGGAATATAGCTCTTTAGCTCTGCCTCATCAAAACCAGTTTGGAACAACAATTTAATCTGCAAAAATAGAGCAAACAATCAAGAAAATATTAGTATTGACTTCATTACGGCATTTCGGATAACGAAGGTGAATAATAGAAGGGCGTGCCTGCTTAAAAATGGTGGATTTTCCAGACTCTCCGGCACCTAAATAATTAGGGAAATCTCAGCTTATTTGCATTGTCAAATGAAATAAAGAAAAGAAAAAATCCAGTAGTCAATTAACACTCAAGCAAATATACAGAATCAGCAACGTGATAGGTCCTATCACAATGAAAGATATAACCTAATAACAGCCCAAAATAAAACTAAACAGCCAAATCTAAAGAAAAGTTTGAATGTTCACTAATAAATAAAATTCAGCCGATAAACAGAACGTACAATCCTTTCCATGTCGGTTGTGGAAACGATTGAATGTCAACTTACCAATGGTGTTTAGCTCACAGTTTAGGCTTGTATAACCCCAAGGTTAAGAAGCTGAGCCTATAGTTGGTATGTTAGTTTACTTATCCTGGGTTACGAGTTTATTAACCCCGTAAAGATATGAACCTAGACTTATGAAACTCAACCTTTATAATACACTTTTATAAATCCTAAACCAACTAACCAAATATGGGTTATACAAACCTAAGCTCACAAGGCCAGTGAGGCTATATATCTTAAAATATACCTACCAAGCAGAAGAAGTTTCTGTATATGTTTTTCAGCCTCTGTTTCCTGCTCTATCCGCCGTTCTATTTCCGCAGCCTGGAAAAGCACGAAACTCCGATCATATCAAACTTGAGGTCCAACAATTGTTTCACAAACCAATCCGTAACCCCAAACTACCAAAAATACAATTTTATTCAACTAGCATTATCAGCACAAGCAAAGAACAGTGCATTTTGATAAAGCAAATATTAACCTGCGCATTCTCCTCAGAATCTTGTTCATTGTAATGGCGATTTCTGCTGCACAGTAAGCCCATATTTTTACTCAAATGAGACAGCATAGAAAACGGCAGAACACTAGTGACACTCGCAAAGATTCATCAGCATCAGCCTTGGAAAATGTTCACTCATATTGCAATCTCCAGAGCCAGCCTACACATTAAAACCCCCATTTTAAGCATGCAGAAACAAAACCAATACCCATTTCCAACGACCACCCTCAAACTTGACTCAAACTCCAATTTCCTCTACACAGAATTCAAAGAAACAGTTCACAAAAAGCACACAGTGCAGCAACATAAAATGCAATCCAATCAAACCCCATAAAAACTAAAGTGGGAAATTCCGTACCAAAGACCTAAAACTGTTGGATCAACTCAGAGAATCTCCTCGAGACAGCAACATTGACAACCCACTTCACAGAGGAAGAGAAAAAGAAGGATCTAGAAGAAGGCTTGAAAAGGGGTTGAGTGGAAGAAGAGTAGCGAGGCAAAGGGTGGGCGGAATCGGAAGGAGGGAAAATGGGTGCGCCTAGATTTGGCGGATTCGCAGCAGTGGGTGGGGGGGTTTAATCAAGAATCGCATTAAATTGATTGAATGGAATAAAAAGGAAATTGGGTTGTTTTATGGG